AACTAAAGTATTAGTGAACATTCAGATAGCTCAGTGTCGGGGGGGGGGGGGGGGGGGGGGGGGGGGGGGGGGGGGGTCTTACAGGGATTTTTTGTAAATTTTTTTTTCATTTTGAAAGGACATTTTGATACAGGGCAATAGAGAGTTAAATGCTGATTTTTACTACATAACATTTATATCACATAGTAGAATTCTTAGAGGAATTTTGAACTGTACTCAGGTGGATTTCCTATAGAAAAGGCTCATTTTTTTGTATTTTGCCATGACTGCCCTGGGGCCATTCTTGGAGATCCCACGCTAATTTTTTTACAGGATTGTAGCCCAAATAGAGTACTTCAAAGTTCTAATAGCCAGTGCCACAGACAATTCATTTCTTGAGAGAAAGCCTATCCTGAAAGTGCCCACGTTTATCAAAATTTTGTTTTCCACGGGGCTGCCCTGAACAAATGGAACAGTATGAATAGCTGAAATTTTCAGAAGAAATATATCTCTCAGTATATTATCAGCAATAAAAATTTCAGACCTATAGGTCATTCCTATCAAAAGTTACGAAGCGCAAACTTTCCGAAAAAGAACCTTTTTTCATATATTGAGTACTTCATAAAATCCCAATGGCTCAATATTTTAAAACGAAAATTTTATGGTAAATAGAATTCACTGAGGTGTATGGAAATAAAAAATCTTCGCTCATTTGCTTGAGCCATTTGTGAGATATCGCTGCATTAGGACCCCCATTTAAATATAGGGTCATTTTTTGGCCTTTTCGTAAAATACTCATAAAAAACTGAGGGATCAATATTTTTTGAATCGGCTTTCGTCAAAATTCACAAACCTCTTCCTTCTACAACATATCTTAAATTGAGCAAAATCTGACGATATCGATTGAGCAACTTCGGTCGTGGCTTACATGGACTGGCTCTTACATCGCCAATGCATTTCGTGTCATTTATTTAGATTATACGGACGTGGATGTGCGTAGTTGGGGTGTGGGTGTTTTTTTTTCATCACACCACACTCCCATCCACATCCTACACGAACGAAAAGGTCGGCAACAATAATAAAAACACATTTCTTTCTTTTTTTCTTCTGTTCCTTCGTTGTTAATATACTTTTTATAGATCTGCTTCACTCTTTATATTTACACTTTCAGAAAAAAACAAGCAAAGCCTCTATGTTTGTAAGCATAATATGAATGCACTTGAATGAAAGATAAACACAAGAAAAAAACCAAATATATACGTACTTTTCCTAGACCAGATAATCCTCATATTGCACGAATTGAAATTGTAATCAATCAAATAAACAATCAGATAAAAGATCTTGAAGAAATATTTCAAAATGTTTCAACAAATTTTTCTAGTGCAACACTTGATCAACGTTTTAAAACTTTTCAACAACAATATCGTTCACTATTGGATTCACAGGATAATTTTCAAGAACATGTTAGACAAGCACTTGCAGATATTCGTCGACATCGTGTCGAATCAATAACATTAGATGATATTAATATTGGCAATCAACGTTATGAATGTTTACGTAAAGCTGAAATAGATAAATTTCTCACTCGTATTCAATCATTGTTAAACAAATCGATATTTATCGAAAAATTAAAGAACAATCATATTGAATATATCAATGTGTCCGATGTTCGTCCTAATCAAGAAATACCAATGACGATTGATGATATGGATGCCGTACTTAAACATACTTATTCCAATGAGAATGATTCTGTAATTCTTTGATATTCGAGTGGCCGTTTAAAACGTGAACAAGAAGATAGATACCAACAAATATATCAAGAATTAATTTTGGAACAGCAACATGTAGAACAACGAATAAAATTAGTCTATATTAATTTCACCTATATCAAAGATAAATTAGAAGATTTTATCATTGTACGATTACCATTGACAGAAACATCAATAACTAAGCGTGATCCTAAGAGAAGTAAGAGATCAGCTTCGAGAAAAATTAATTCACTTTTTCGTTAGTCTTACAGATAATATTTAGCTTTCTTCTTTTGAGAAAAGTCGAGTGGCTTAAGCTAATCCTGGTAATACCCATAAGGACTTTATAGTATATACAAAAAATATACTCAACAACATCCTATTGAATGAATCTTCTCTAACATAAAATTATCATTCCTTAATTTGTAATAGAGATGCTCAAACCAGAGATGTCCGTCGCGGTTCGAAATCTGCCGCTGCCGCGATGGTACTCGAAAAAAAGTTTCGAATTTCATTGTTGTGAGTGTTTTGAAATACAATTCTTGTCACTAATCAATGAGATTCATTGAGTCTTAGAGTGTTACGTTTGTGGACACTACATTTTTGTGCAAATTCATGTAATTTTTTCAATGTCTTTCATAAATAAGGTGCCGCGGCCGCGCCGCTGCCACGACTGTATTGTTAAAAAATCTCCCGCGCCGTGATGGACATCTCTGGTTCAAACATAGTCTTCATTGTGTATCTGTCGAATAACTTTAGTAACCGATTATAATCACTCAAAATTAAATCAGATTGCATGAAAATAGTGAGAAAGGAATTTTATATAGTTAGAGAATCTTCCAGTATGAAAAATCAAAATAAGTATTTCCATTTAGACACAGTACATCTATTACCACCTACTGATTCAGATCGATTGCCTTCAAAGCAACGAACAAGATCATCATCTCCACAACCTAAAACATCACATACACTACCCAGACCTCCACCTATACCTCCAAGAGAACCATTGTCAATATCAAAGCCGATCGAAATTAACGTACTACTCATGGGAGAAATTGGTGTTGGAAAAACAACATTCATTAATGCATTTATTAATTATTTAACATTTGAAAGTCTTCAACAAGCTGAAGAAGGAGAACCAGTTGTATTAATTCCAGTTTCATTTCTCATTACTGTTGGTAATCGATTCAAGGAATTTGCTGTCAAATTAGGCAATACTGATTCGAATGAAAATCATGAACAACAAGGTCAATCAGTAACACAACAATGTAAATCATATATATTCGATTTGAATAATAGACTACGTTTACGATTCATTGATACACCTGGTATTGGTGATACACGAGGAATTAATCAAGATACAAAAACTATTGATCATATATATAATTACATCAATAATTTATCTCATTTAAATGCTATTTGTTTATTATTGAAATCAAATATTTCTCAATTGAATGTTTTCTATCATTCATGTCTTAATCAATTGTTAACGTTTTTAACACCAAATG